CCAGAAACTATAAAATACTTGGTAAGATAAATCAGTTTGTATGATTTAAAGTTATTTTCTTTTCTCTCTTTCTACAAAAACGTGATAATAATTTCAACTCACCCCTTTTTTTGAAGGACAATTTTATTTACAAAGAGTTCATAATAAATTTTATTTGTTTTGCTGAATTTATTTTGAATATTTAAAATGTCTGCCAGTTCGTATTTTAAATATTTCTTAGAATTTAAAATGCATTGATCTTTGACTATGTGCTTTTGCATTATTTCTACCATTATATTATGGTAGATAAATGATCCAAAAACATTGGATCATTGTCTTTGGATCCAAAAACAAGTCCCACAAGTGCGTAACAAACTTGTGCGCACAAGTCCCACTTGTGGGACAGAGTTTGTTCCGGGCCTGTTTGTGTCCTGGTTCTGCTCTGACCCGGTTCGTCTCGCCCGCAGGCCGAGGAGCAGCTACGGATCGTGGAGGAGCAGAGAAAGATCCACGAGGAGCGCATGAAGCTGGAGCAGGACCGGCAGCGGCAGCAGAAAGAGGAGCAGAAAATCATCCTGGGGAAGGGAAAGTCCAGACCCAAGCTGTCCTTCTCTCTGAAGGCGACCGAATGACACTCCCCTGCCCCGCCTTCGTCCTGCACTGCCCCTCCATCCTCATCCTCATGGTTCAGCCCCGCTCCGTGTCGTCCGCTGCGGATTTGCTCGCTTCATTTTGGAAGTGCTAAAGGAAAGGTCGGGAGGATGCTCCTTCATCGTCGCCCCTAAAAACAAACAGACAGACAGAACGAACTCCTCCTGTTTGCTTTTATTTTCTCTCTTTTAGGGACCTGGAAGTTTTCATGTAGTCTGGGAGTCTTATGTAACCAGCGGTAGTCCTGCTAGGGGAAAGTCACCGGCAGCTCGGGTGGCTGTCGCTCTGCTTTTGGTAGCACTTAATTTGAAGCAGTGTGCAGAAGGCGGACGTGACCCGTTGCAAACATCAAGGAATGGGAATGAATGTTTGACTTTTCTCATGAAAGGTCACTCGGTAAATAATTACATTTTTACTGCAAAGTTGCCTTAAAAGTGTCAACTTTGCTATATTTGGTAAATAATGATATTATTAAGGTACATTTTCGGTTAAAAGTGCATTAAAAGTGTCAATATTTACGGAATGACAGTTCATGACAGCAGCATTTATTTGGACTCCTTCATGTTCGTTGCTGATGTCATGTCAGTCTTATGCGCAGCACTTCAGATAAAGTGTTTTCTTTTTTTAATTTTAAAAACAATAAAGATTTGAAAAAAAGCACAGAAAGCTTCCCATCCGGCTGCCCCGCTCCGTGTCTTCCACCCCTCCGGAAACGTTTCTCCTCCCACCTTAAAACAATCTGGTTCTGCAGGCGAACCGGGCCTCAGCTACCCGACCTGCTGGTGATCGATCCGACAGGAAACGGAGGACAGAAGCCATTTCCTGTTCCGTGTAACCCTTTTAAAACCGTCTTATGAAAAAGCGATAGAGATCAGAAAACGCGGGGAGGAAAAAAAAAACACCCTGGTTTGTTTTCCAACACAATTCCCCCCACATGTGCGAACTGTTATGTTGTAGTAAATTAACTTGGCGAAGCCGCCGCTGAGTCGTAAAGGAGACACGAGTTCAGGTAAGACGAGGTCAGAGTGAAAATGCAGGTGTGTGTGTGTGTGTGTGTGTGTGTGAGTGAGTGAGTGAGTGTTTGGATGATTTATTTGACCTCAGGTGGGTATAATAACTTTATTCTGTGGAATCTTAATTTTGTCATGTGAGTTTTTTCCCCCTTAAATTGTCAAAGGACTGAACAGATGAATAAATCCATTGAATGCCAACAGAAGCTGAAGGTCTCATCATTATTTCACCAGTAGAGTCAGCAGATTTCTGCTCTTGATACCAGTAAAACCATTAATGGACCAGGATGTGCTTCACTTCTGGTTTTTCAGACAGCGGTTTATACAGAATAATAACAATAAAACAGATGCTTCTGTATATTTACTCCAGGTTGATTAAAATCTTGAAATTTAATTACTTTTTTATTGTTTGTCAATTCGACTTAATTTTAATTTGCTGTCCGATGATATTTTGGACTTTATTTAGGAAAAATGCACAGAAATTTGACTAAAGTGTTGATACAAAGTTTATATCAGTATCAGATTTATAATATTTCTGATCTATACTTTGATTTCAGATTCTATCTTGAAATGTTTATTTTTGTATTACTTATTAACTCAACATTCTTTTATTTGCTCTAAAAGATTTTTGCATTGTTTATTTAGACAAAATGCACTCAAATCATGTTAACCTGTTAAATATATTCTTTATAAAAGTTGTACAAATACTTTGCGAACAATCAAACTTGAGCCTTGTGTTGAGCTGAAACTTTGACTAGGCTAAAAGCAACAAATTTTTTTAAATCTGACAGATTTGAGAAGTTTTTTTTATTTCTTTATAATATTCTTTGTGGAGAAGAAATAAAGTTTATTCCAAAAATAAAATTTAAAAAATCCAAAAAGTAGTTTTAAGCATTTTATTCATCTTGATTTTTTTTTTTTGTTCAAAATTATTTAAAAAGTTTTAAAACTTTTTTCTTACAGTATAAAAAAATTCTACTTACAAAAAGATATATATGTATCTTTTTAAATTTTGCTACATTTTTGTTCTGTTCTTCTGAACAAATTTTTGGTCGCAATATAGCTCCATACTCCGTCTTCACCCGGCAGTTCCTCCACGGCGGCCGGGATCGGTGCGCTTCACCCCGGCTTGGGTTCTCCGGAGGGCCCCGCTGCTGCCTCCCTTCCTCCAGAACTGGGTTTATTCTTTAGAAAAATATGAACTTTAAATGTGTAGTGGGTATATTAACCTAATCAATTAGATAATAGTGAAGCATCTATCACTTGCGGTTTTTATAGGTCAATAGTAACGAAGGTCAGTAATATAAACCCCAAACTGCTTCCTGCAGCTTTTGGTGTCTAATTTTCCTAAAAACACTTTCCGATTGAATTAAAGCAACTCAATCAGCATCCAATCAGCGGTTCACACGTTTCAATCCACAGCCTGCAGAATCCCCAGTGGGTGAGAATCAGTTCAATTAACGGCTGGTCGCGAACAGGAGGCGTGAAGAGCTTAAAACAATGTTTTCAGAGCGAATCGCGCCCTAAAACAGCATCTGAGAGAGTTTTGAGTAGAAGTGACTGAAACGGCGGAGATATAATGTGGAATAGGAATTAGGAACTGCGTTTCTGTTCAACAAATAATTTGACAGTTTGAAAACTGAACTCGCCTGATGGAAGGATTTCAAAATGAAATGTTTTTCAGTGAAATGTTTTCAGACACATAGAAATTGGTTAATGTCGCAAAACTGAAATGGAAACAGTTGCATCACCTGAGTCACATGATCAACAACCGGATGTTACTACTGCCGCAAACCACGAAGAAGAGGAGGACAGGAAGTGGTAAGAGGATGAGGGTGCTGCATGTTTTTAAATGATTTATTTCATGAAGAAACTTTTTCACATATGATTTCTATTATGTTTCTTGTTTAATGAAAACCCTGCAGTTTTTTCCCCTGAATTTATCCTTGAAAATATTGACTCAAATTGAATTATTATTGTTTTACTCGTTTTCAACACAAGAAAATGATTTAAAAATAAAAACTATTTCAATGATATAAAAACCTGAATTGTTTAAGCCCAGAAGTTGTGATAAATATTTTTTTCTCACCTTAAAATAATTGAAAAGTTTGACTTGTGGCTATCGATAATGAACTTATTTCTGTCTCCATTTAAATTTAAATAATAATTTCAGTCATTATTTTTTTAATAAACAACTTCTGCTATGTATAACTGCAGCCATTATAGAGGAAGATTTAATTATTGGTTGAATTTAAGTCAATTTGTAAGTATATTTACACATTTAAACCAACATGTGTGCTTTAGATGAATGAAATGTATCCTAAATGTTTCTCAAACTGTAGTGTTTCATTTGTACGTTTAAGATATTTGACTAAAAATATGACAAAATAAGTAAATAAATCTAAAGTTGTCAGGATTTTTGCAGCTTCTGCACAAAGTGATTATAAAGTTTGATTTGTTTCTAAAATAATCTGATAATTTTCACTTTTCTTCAAATAATAAACATATTTATGTCTGGAATTAAATCTGAATAATTTCTGTTGCAAAATAATGAGTCTTATTTACTCCTAAGGCTAAATAAAAACATTAACACTAATTTAAAAGTTTAGTCTGATGGATGAAGATGCAGCCTTCATAGTGGAATATCAAAATAAAAGGTTTAAAAATACAAAGAACCATTTTAAAGCTGCATAAATTCTCATGATTTCATCTTTATTTTAATTGTTTGATGAGTTATAATTTTGAGGATAAATATGCCATCTTCTCTGGTTTCTCCTGATAGTTTTGCCGCTAGTGGGCGCTGTTGGCTTTCTAATGAACTTGACGCGGATGAACCGGCTGCACGCGCTCGGTTCGGATGAGGAGTTCGGTTCTTTGGGAATCCTGCAGGAATGCAGAGTTTGGAAAACGGAAATAACCCGGATGCGTTCTGCTTTCCTCACCTGTGCAGGTATTACATTTGACTTCCATCCATCTCTCTTTCTTTCTCAAAATCTCTCTTTTTAATATTTATAATAATAATAATAATAATAATAATAATAATAATAATAATAATAATAATAATAATTATTATTATTAATATTATTATTATTATTAATATTAATATTATTATTATTATTAATTGATTAAATCGATTGCTTGGTAACCCATTTCCATGGTGTCCAGTGTCCCTCAGTCCGGTGACATTACAGGGTTCGGCTGTAATTTCTCACCCCGCCGATCCAGTTGCCGCCTCTGATTGACGGATCCGCTTCTTTTTAACTTCCACCAATCGGCGGCGGCGGTGGGCGGGGCCTGGTCGGGAGCAGCTCCGCCAAATATTCCCAGTCTGCGTCTCTCTCAGTTACTTCCCAGCCCGGCTTAAGAGCAGCAGCCGATCAGGCGACATCCTCCCTGCGTGCGGGTTGCTGTGCGGTGCTGTGCGGGAGGACGGATCTGCGGGACTCTAATTCTCCGCCTGCGTGCTCGGCTTTCTGTCTTTTCTGTCCTTCTTTCCTCACTTTGGGAGTTTTATTTTCTTTCTTTTCGGACCTGTTTAGAATGAGAACCTCCATCCCAGCTCCTTTGGTTTCTCTCATCCACACATCCGCTCATTTTGTTCATTTCGACCATCCGACCTCATTGTTCCATTTTTGTGCTGCTGTCACCCACAGTTTGTCGCCCTCCACCTCCACCTCCAGCTCCAGCTGAACGCGGAATACCTCAGCCTGCTGCTGTTGGATGTTGGCTCTTTTTACGCAGAGGGATTTCTATTTTTCCTGAAGGATGATGGATCTCTAACGCGCTGCGCCCTGAATGAACCAACCGTGCGCTCTTCTTTTTTCTGTTTTTTTCCCCCCCTTTCTCTTTGGAGATGCTCTGATCGGAGCTTGTTGGGTCCGAATGCGCTGGATCGGGATATAATCTGAAGATCTTTTTTTGCTTTTCTGTTGTTTTGTTTTCTGCGTGGCCCCACACGGCCGTTCCCCCTCTGACACGGAGTGTGCGCCGCATCCATCCCGGAGGCGCGCGGGCTCACCATGGGGGACTCGATGTGGAGATATTATTTTGGAGTTTTCTTCCTCGCCTTCGAACTGGACTTGTGTCGGCCGCTCATTCTCGAGTCCATCTACTGGAACACGACCAACACCAAGTAAGTGCAGCGAAATGCGCACTCATCTTCGCGCAAAGAATAATTGTGAAAAAATTAACTGCAACATTTATTGCCGATTTTTTCCCCCTCTTTCTCCACCAAATTCGACATTTATTTTATATTTTTATTTCTTTATTTTTTGAAATAAAGCCGCTCCTCTAAAGCTTTTCTCTAGCACGGATCATTCTGGTTGAATAAATCCACAATTCCGACCGCCAGTGTGGGAATATTTACGCGCAGAGCGGAGACGGAGCTCGATGTGCGGAGAAACGACGCGCACTTTGCGCTGCGCACTGCGGGGTGAATACATGAAATGTCGCCGCCAGAAATATCAAAAATACACACAATTTATTAAACATAATTCCAACTTAAGGAATGTGAATGTATTGTGATGGAGCGTGAAGAGAACGGAGCCTGTTTCTGTTGGGCTCCAGCGGGCCTCTGTGTGTGTGTGTGTGTGTGTGTGTGTGTGTGTGTGTGGGGGTGTGTGTGTCGAAGTGTTTTCTCTGAACAATAAGGCGGATTTCAGAGTAATTTCTGTTGGAAATGTGGCCGCAGAGATAAAGCTTTATTCAGGCCGCTGCGCTGAATCGCGTCTCTGTAAGTAAAAGTTCAACTTGGACTGTTTTTCTGCGTAACTTCAGGAACAAATACGGTATTTTCTGCCCCCCGCCGTCAGAAATAAACGCTTTACGTCCTCCAGTGATGCCAGAAGAGATGTCTTTCTTGTCGTTTTTCTGTTTTTCTGCTGCTCTCTGCCGGCGGGGGCGGACTGGGTCCCGTCTTTGTGTCCGTTTAGTCACGGTCAAAACTCCAAACTGCGCCTCCCTGACGGCGAGATGGACTCAGTGGCGCAAAGCGACGCGCATTTCAAGCTCCAGACTGCGCCTTTACGAACCAGTTTTGGTTTCAATCCGCGAGTTAAGAGTTGGTGAAGGTCTGAGTGTCTTAGTGTGGCGACTGATCACGGATTGGCGCTAAACTGCGCTGAAAACTGCGCGTTTTCTCTCAGCAAACTGAGCTTTTTTTGTGTTAAAAGGTGAACTAGTGAGTTTAATTTCCGCTCATTTACAAAATCAGACACTTTTCAGAGAAATTAAATAAAACTACACAGCAAACCTGCCGAGTTGAAATCTTCTGGAGTTATTTTAACACCTGCAAATGTGAAAAATGTGCTAAAATAACTGATGTAGGTCAGTTATCTGGAAATTGACTCGACTGAACTTCAGCTTTGCATGTCAAACTGCCTGGTTGTTTGAAATCAGTTGAAAAAGATCAATAAAAGATACAGAAGCAGCAAAATAACCACGTTAACGCCATAACAGGCAGATTTTTATGAGTTTTAATTCTCTGGATGGCTGATCTAGGTTGTAGGGAGGAACATGAGAGGCTCAGATGATGAGAAAGAAAGAGGAAAATTAGCAAAAAATGACCAAATAGTGAAGGAAGAAGCCTTTATGACCCAACCTGCAGCTGCAGTTCAGCTCTAACGTACGGAAACCAACTGGAAACGTGATAATGTGTCCACCGCTGGAGCGTGTGGAGGCCTCAGAGTGGGAGTTTTCTGGACCAGGAGCGCAGAAGTCAAAGTTAAATCTGGATTTGTTGTAATCTATTTGACCTAAATACAAAGTTTCAACTTGTTTTCAGCATCCAAAGCACCAGAAACGAGTCACTTTGAATCAACCTGATTGGAACAGAATCAGATTTTTTCTTCTGTCATCATTAAATGCATCAAATATACCAACCTCCACCATTTTCAGCCTGGAAATGAAACTCTGTAAAAGATGCAGAAATCGGAATAAATATGAAATTATTTTATTTTGATGAGTCATACGATTAAAATTTAAAAACTCATCCCGAAACTCATTCACTTACAGAGTTGCTGCAGATAATGACAGATACAGACATGAAGGCGCTCCTCTAGCAGACTGTTTACTGCAAATTGGAAGAAGCCTCTGACTGAAGAGAGTATCTGCTACCATATTTTTAAAGTGTGGACCGATTGCAGTATACTGGCCGATCTGCCGATTCCGATTTTGGCCAAAACCAATATTTTTTGTCTTAAATGTTGCTAAAAATATCAGGAAAGTTGCTGCGTTGACAACATTTAAGATGATTATTGTTAACTACAAACTTGCAGACAGGAACAGTCAATCAAACCTCTGATAAAATCGGCTTCATGTTTAGTGCAAACATCTTAATACACTTTAAATAGGCAAAATTGACTTATGAGAAACTTTTTAGCAAAATATATAAATGTTTTTAAGTCAGTAATTCACTTGCAATGATAATATTTTAGTTATAAAATGAAGAATTGTCATGCTATAAGTACATAATTAACTATTTTATCAGTATTAATGAATTAAAAAGTGGTAAGATTTGAGGTTTTTGCAGTGAGCCGATCACCAATCCCTCAAAGTTAAGGAGATTTTGGCTGATTTATCTTTGCATCCTTTAGTTTTTTTCTACTTTTTTATGTTGATTGTTTTCAGGAAAAAACTGGAATTTGTGAAAATCAGCTGAACACAAATCGGTACAGGCCAAAAACAACAGCAGATCGGTGCATCGGATCGGTTAGCATCAGGTTTTTAGCGCTTTCTCTTCTGGTTTTTATGGTCTAAACTTTAAATCTCGGTTCCAGCTTAAAGTGTGTGTGTGTTTCTCCGTCGATTAAACCTTATTGTTGCTGGCCTTTCTTAAATGAGCCTCGTCAGAAAAACAAGAGAGTGACCCCTGCTCACATCGCCGCGCCTCCTCCAACCGCTAATCCATTTTGTAGCTGGGAGGGAGAAACAAAAGAGAGCCCCGCTTTACACGGGATATGGAAACGCAGCGCTGCCTCTCCTCCGCTGCAGTTCATTAAGAGATTACAGAGGAGCCCCAAAGGCCCTTTGTGACCGGGCAGCGGCGGGGGCACCTCAGGGGTCCTTTTCTAAACTAAGGATTTTCTTTTTTTAACTTGCATAAAAGTTGTCAGGTTCTTTTTTTTCTCTTTAAAACAGGAGAATTAATCCAAGACTTTTCGTTTTTAGAGACCAACTTTTGTCTAAAGGAGAAGAAGACGAAGAAAAAGTTAAACTGGGGAAGAGTTTTTGTTTTTTTGCGTCTCTCAGGGGAAGGAGGGTAATTATGTCTGGGTCTGGATTACAGGATGAAAGGTAGAGGGGAGTAAAGACCCCGTTTCTCTCTGCAGAGATCTGCATGGATTAACCCCTCGCTGCAGCCGCGTCGGTCTGAATCTGTAATGAACTGCTGCAAAAACACTGCAAAAATGCTGCAAAAACGCTGCAAAAATGCTGCAAAAACACCAAATCAAGCCAAGTGTCTTTGGTCTTGTTTCATCTCAGCTCACAAAACTAACTTATCAAACTTTTCAGCAAGACAAAGCAGCTTGTTTTAGGTCAAGAATTCCTTAACAGAGTTGAAAAAGGCAGATTTTTTCACTTTTCTCTCATGTTTTCAGTGTAAAATCTGCAACTAGTATTTTTGAATCAATTTTAGGGAAATATTGACTTTAATCAAACTCCTAAAAGTTACTTGTAAGTTTTGTCTTATTTCAAGTTTACACAAGAAACATGACCAAACATTATTCATTAATATTTATGGAAAAGTTCAACCGGCAGATTTTTTCACTGAGAACAAAATAAAAGTATCTGATCAGAAGTGTAAGAGATATATCTAAATATTTTATCAATATTAAGTAACTATTGAGGATTATTGAAAGAAAATGTATTTCAAGTGGATTAAGATATTTTCAGAAGAAACTAGAGCAAAAATAGTGGGTAAGATTTTGTGTTTTTGCAGTGTGGAGTGAAGGAAAGGAGCCGTACACTGTAAAAACACAACATCTGACCTAACACTTGTGTGTAGCTTCTAATGCAAATATCTTAGTATGTTTAAAATAAGACAAAACTAACTAATGAGTAATTTTTCTTTGACATTTAGGAGCTTGTTTACAGTCAGTGATTCTTTAATGATGTTGTAATAAGACTAGCAGATCATTTCAGCTGTAAAAATAATGTTTTTCTATGTTATAAACTGCAAGTGGAACTAATACTTTTAAATCAATATTAAGGAATTATTAACTGCTTTATCTAGCTGGAGGGTTGCTTGTAAGTTAGTTTTTGCCTTATTTCAAGAGCACTAAGATCTTAAAGTACATAAAAATGCTTGGTAATATTTTCTGTTTTTGCAGTGTATTCTTGTTTTTCCACCTTTAAATCAGTTCTTCATGAAAAATCCCTTAAATTCAGACCTGATGCGTTGGTGTCGGGTTGAGGAGAGTTTGATGAGGCGTTCAGAACAGGAGCTGGAAATGTGCGGCTGGACGTAAACATGGCGGAAAAGCAGGTGAGCAGGACGAACTGGAAGCCTGAGGAGCTTCATTAAAACGTCACTGAATGTTTTTCACAGCCTGATCCGTGTTAAAACGCTCCGGCGCTTTGATTCGGGAATATTTATGACGGGATTGGGAGAAAAAAAAGACGTTTTAGGAAGACTTTAAAGGGCCAAGCGTGCCTTGAAGCCTGTTGGTGGGTGGCGTGTGTGTGTGTGTGTGTGTGTGTGTGTGTGTGTGCGTGTGTGTGTGTGTGTGTGTCGAACACATTTACAATCATGAGAGGGAATGCTGTAATGTGTTTTCCAGCCCTCCCTCCTCTCTCTGAGTGTTTTCCGTGACCTTTTCTTTCTTCCTTCGCTTTTATTGCTCCAGTCTGCAGCCGTCCTCTCCGCCTCTCGTCTTCGTCCTTTTGGGACGTTTCAGTTTTTATTTATTTATTTGGCTTTTCGCCTCCTCTGTCAGCGTTTATTGAGCGTTCTCGTTACGCAGCGGTTTGCAGATCAGGCCACGGTGTGTGAGTGGAGACAAAAAAATTAAAATAAACAAAAGGAAAGAAAAACAAGAATAAATATGGAACAACACAGCCAGAGTTTTACTGCAAAAGCTCAAAACAAGAACATTTTCAGAGTGAAATCACATCGTTGTTTAGATTCCTTTA